CCTCTATCCAATCATATTTCCCCCACTTTCTCACACTTTTTATTATTATCATTATTTATTTATTTATTAAAAATAATAATAAATCCCAACAGTCCTCCCCATGTGATTTGTTTTCATGTCACGCTCACGCCTGACTACATGGCTTTTGTTCCTCTACGGCCGTGTCTATTGTAACCTCTTAGTACTTACTCGTTTCTGGTATTGTCGGTTGCTATTTCCTTTTCACTTTCTCTAAAAAAGGAAATTATCTTTTTTTTTTAATTTTCTTTTTAGTAAAACATTTAAACCTATAATTATGAAATTTGAGTTAGAAATTATTATATATTACGTTTGTTCTTTGATAAAAAAATTAAAAAAAATTAAAAAAATGAGAGTACAAATTTTTATTTTAATTACTAAATGCAACGATAAAATCTATAGTCAGTTTAAAAATTATATTCTTATTCCCTTTTTTTTATCTAAACTTTATCAATTTCATTAGCTTTTTTCCTGGGCTCCACTACATTCTCATTCATTACTTTACATTCCTATCATTTTGTCTATCTCCTTTATCACATTTTTTTTTATTTTTTTAATAAATTAAATAAAATAAAATAACCTTTTTTTTTTGTTATATTATAAATTTTCATTTAATTTTATTAGTAAATATTCATTATTTAATTAGCATACAAATATAATTGATTGTTGATGTAGTTTATTAATTAAGTTATCAAAAAAAAATTACTGTTAGATTGATAATTTGACTTTTATAAATAAAAATATAAATTTTATATTGATAATTCGAAAAACTTGAACTATTATATAATAGTAGAGTTGCGTCAGAGTTCTTTTTTTTTGGTTTAGCTTGGTTGAATGTTTTCTAAAATTTAAACCATTATTTTTTTTGATTGGGTCAATTGGAAAATAAGATTAAAATTCAATCAAAACCTATTTTTAAAAAGATTTAAAATATTAAACACAAATATTTTTAAAATAATTATAAAAAGACAAACTAAAAAATAGAGTAAGTCATTGGCAAGCGGAGCCTTAAAAGTCCAATTATACTCTGACAAGGCTGAATGAAAAAAATATATATATATATTTATTTATTTATTTGGATATTAAAAAATAAATAAATTTCATATGATTTATCTAACTGAGGTGATATTTTTGAATTAATTGCAGTGTACCATTCCCAAAAAAAAAAGAAAAAGGTTTCAATAATATGAATATAAATATTCGTAAAAATAAAAATAAAAGCACCCACTCGATATTCACGAAAGTGATAAACACGCGCTGAAATCCCCAATTTCCCTTTGCTCGTGAACAACACGCTCCACCCGAACCGAGCAATGTTCCCCAAGCTGACATCGACGACAACCTCTTTCTGCCTCTTCGATTTTGATTGGCTCCCCATCGTACGCTCTGTACGGACGATCGTGACGCGTTATTTGAGCCTTTTTTTTTTTTAATTATAAAAAAGAAATTAAAAATTTTCTCTCTCTTCTGTGAATAATATCTGTTGTTTTATTTTTATTTAATTTTTTTCCATTTTAAAACTCTATTATTTTTTCTTAGATTAGAAAATTATATATTTACCAAATGAGGTATTTTCCAGAATTAATCCAAATAAGTAAAATTATATCATTTTTATTTTTCTTAATTAAAGAAAAAAAAAAAAGGGGGAGAAAACGTGGGTGTATTTCGTGGCAATTTCCACCCATTTTTGGTGGTGGCAATGAAAACACATCTTCTAATGGTCTTTCTATATTTCCTTTTTCTGATATTTATTACTTATTAGCCCCTTTCTTCTTCTGGGGTTTTCACATTTGGCCCCAAATTTTCCTTTTTTGCTCTCCCAACCACATTCCCTTAGGGCTTCTTTCGTGTTCGTGTTCGTGTTCGTGTTCTTGTTCTTCCTTATACGGATTTCGAAGAAAATTAAATATATGCAGAAATGGTGAGAGGGAAAACTGAGATGAGGCGAATCGAGAATGCGACGAGTCGTCAAGTTACGTTCTCGAAGCGTCGGAATGGGTTGCTGAAGAAGGCGTTTGAGCTCTCCGTTCTTTGTGATGCTGAACTTGCTCTTATCATTTGCTCTTCTACTGGAAAGCTTTATGAATTTGCTAGCTCCAGGTAATCTCAATTTCCTTCCATTTCTTCTTACCTTTTTAGTACTACACGAGGTCCAGCTTTGCATATGTTCGAGTACAATCGATCTCACTTATTTCGAGGTTGCGTAATCATACTAAGTAATCACAACCCAACTCTTCTCGAGTAACGGGATCGCCCCTTTTGGGTTGTTCTAACTTAAAAGGGTCCTAAGTGGTGCAGCGCTCGAGTAACCGTTCCTTTCGTAGGTTCCATCATTAGTGATTGGTAGGAATTTAAATGAAGCTAATAGAATACGTTAAGTTTGATTAGTACAATTGATCCGATTTGTTCCGGCTTTTATATGAGGTTGCGTTATCATATAAGTAAGCACAACCCAACTCTTACCAGGTGATGAGATTGCCCCGGCTGGGTTGTTCTGACTCAAAGGACCTTAAGAAGTGCAACACTCGAGTAACAGTAACGGTTCCTTCCGTAATCAGTAGAAATTTAAATTTAGTTAATAGAATATGTTTAGTTTGACATGTATTTGACTTCACTTCCGTAATCATAATAAGTATGCACCACAATCCAATTCTTTTGAGATCTCTCTAATGAAGTTGCTCGAGCTCAATAGGCTCCGTATTTATTAAATACACATTTAAATTTGAAGATAAAATTTTCACAAACGAAACCCATTTAGAAAATTATTTATAGATATATTTTGAAAATAAGTGAAAACTTGAAGTAAGAATCGACATAAGATAAATATAATCTCGACATTTTTCCATTTTTAGTTGCGTTTAATTATTAATTAGTTTCAAAACCAATTTAATTTAAACTTGGATTATATTAATGTTAATCATATGCTAATTAAATGAGTAATATAATCTCGATATTTGTACCTTATCTTATTATTTAATTGAATTAACCTTATGAACATAATTTGTTATCCTTAAATTGTGTACCTCAGCTTGCAGGCCACAGTGGGGCGATATCTAAGGCATACCAAAGCAACTCATCATCTTCAACCTCCATCTCATCGACACGAGTTACACCTGGTTCAGGTTTGTATGTGCGATGTTCGATTATTTTGATGTCTCAATTTTTTACAAAATATTAATAAAACAATAATTTTTAATTTTAAGATTTATTAATTGTATCGAGACATCAAAATAGTATTAATCTAATGAGTTCTGCATATATATATATATTTGTCTTTGCGTGGAAATGAAGAACGAGGCTACAAGTTTGTTGGACGAGATCGAGTCACTCGAGGTTTCAAAGAGGTAGAATCACTATTGTTCATACGGGTCGATTTAGAATAGCTTTTCAAATGGTTATAAAGCGTTTTTTAATACTTGCAAGGTCGGTTTTAGTTCGGGTGTTAACTTGGATTTGTAATGTACCAGGAAATTGTTGGGAGAAGGTCTAGGATCAAGCTCCTATGAAGAACTTCAACAAATAGAAAAGCAGCTAGAGAGGAGCTTAGCTCATGTTAAAGCTAGAAAGGTTCTAAAACTTCTACTACAATTTTTCACATAAAATAATCTTAAACATTTTATTAAATGTTTTACGAGTTTTACGGTGATATCTCACATTGGTTAGAGAGGAGAACGACACATTCTTTATAAGAGTGTGGAGACCTCTATTCAACATACGCGTTTTAAAATCGCGAGACTGACGACGATACGTAACAGACTAGAACAAACGTTAGTAGCTGACTTGAGTCATTATAAATGACATAAGAGTTAGACCTTGAGCACGTGTCAAGGGAAATCTCGATTAATTAACATATTTTTATTTTTTCTGATTTTCAGTACGAGGTTTACAAGGAACAGATTGAACAACTAAAAGAAAAGGTTAGAAAAAAAAAAAAAAAATCCCTTCAAAACTTATACTTCCAATGAATTAAATTAGACTATTTTGCAATATTTATTTATTTATTTTTAATAACAGGAGAAATATTTGACTGCTGAAAATGCAAAGCTTGCTAAAAAGGTGAGTTCTTATCAACTGCAATTACAAGCATAGTTTTTATGACTTCCTAAAATTTAAAAAGTACTAATTTTGTATTCATTTAATTTTTAATTTTTATATTTCATGGCTAATTTATTGTTAGATAAGAAATTCAAATATTTATCTAATAAATTAGTTATTTTTTTTTTTAAATTGATTTGATTTTATCAAATACCATTTAAAATAGTCTAATATTATATTTGTAATTTGACCTAGTTATTATTGATAGATTTAATTGTCGATCTTTGAACATGTAATGCAGTGTTTTGTCCAACACGAGCTTCGACAATCATCAGCTCAAGTTGGTGAAGTTTCAACTCATCTAGAGCATAACTCGATTTTCGACATAGAAACAGAGCTGTTCATTGGACCTCCCAAGTCGATCAAGTGAATCCCTTTTATTGTACAAACTAATAATTACGTAATAATAATCTTATTTTTTCATAATTTAATCCGTTCTAGTGTATTTATAAAAAATTAAAGTGGAGATATTATAATCAAATTGGTAATAGCCAATTTTCATTAATTTAAATGAATTTTTATTTTCTCATGGTCTATGTCTATAATAATTACATAATATTTTTCATGATTTTGAAAAAATAAATATTTTTTTGGGATGATTTAAAATTATTTTATGTTTTAAAAATATTATGGAGAAAATTAATCGACCCAATTTATAAATACTTATATATAATTTTAAATAAAATTATTCATGTATTTATAACATTAGTCACTAAATTAGTTAATATATATTTAATTGTTATGCCATTATTTTTAAAATAATTTTTAAATATAAAATGATTATTTTCGCTCCGGCGAAAGGGCGGGAAACTTAAGAGGGCAAAAAACGGAAAAGAAAAAAAGAGAAAAGCGGGAGTATAAAAGCCCCCGGCGTTAGGTAGTTCACACTTCACAGAAATGGCATCGTATAGCAACGAGGACTCAACTGAACGATTCCTTTCTTCAGTTATCTTCGCTCTCTCTCTAACTTGACCACGCTACGAAATTTCTCCTTCCAGTCTACAGTTCTCTCCGTTCTTGTGTTCATCGACAATGGCGCTGAAGAAAGGATCGGTGTCTGGTTTTGCTAAGCACGAGGATGAAGGAGGTAATGGTGGTATCGGAGGATATAGGTTAGTTTTGGCTGTTCTCGTCGCTCTCTCTGTTCTTGCGTCCTTGCCTTTTGTCGTCGTCAGCGACTTCCACACTATTGGTGCGTTTCTTCATCAACTTTTGATCTCCCTGTGTGATTTAAGAAAATGAGTAATGTTGTGTAGTTTCTACTCTGGATTTTTACTTGTTGTTAATTTTCTCTTTATTCTCCTCAGTATTAGTTGAAAGTTTTAGTTAATGTACCTTGTTATAACGTTTTCTATACGGAATCCGAAGATCTACGGTCACTTCAGACTCTGAGTTAGAACTGGCTCTTTCACGAGAGCTTCTTATTTTGATTATTTCTTTGAGAGCTAAATAGGTATAGCGTACGGATTATTTGAATTATTGACAGAGGTGGAAGGGATTACGAAACAAAAATTTTAACGCAAGTATAAGTGCTAACTACACGGTTTAAGTTTAAAATCGTATCATGCGTTGGAAACGTTAATCGCATTGTAGGAATTGTCCTAGGCTCCGTTAAATTTGATATTGAGTTGCACTCATGTTACCAGAAAGATGTATCGGTCATCATTTCTTCGGATTGATTTTTTCCCGTCATTTTGCCTCTTAGGCAAATGGAGAGGCAAAAAAGTACGAAGAACAAATAATTAAATTTTTTAGAACGATGTAATTATAGTCACAAAACTTCTTCGTTCAAGGAATTTTCGATAACAGCACAATATCATTCTGAGTTCACGGCTTTTCGCCTGTAGCAATTACTAGAACATTATTGATTCGTTTGCTACAAAATTTATGCGTGAAGTTTGGCTGAGCCAACACTTCACAGAATGATGGTCAAGAGTTTGCCCGCCTAACTCTGTGTAACTGCAAGAGCGACTCTCCTGTATATAATTAAGTGTGATTGATGGAGATAATGAATCCCCACTTCTTCTTGCAAATAAAGTAGTGTCAAACTAGAGTAATCAACAGGAATTTTCTGACACAAGATACATCCTGCCTGTGCTTCACGTCAAACCATGGAGATACTGAAGAGTGAGATGACGATGTAGGGTGTAGATATAGTTTACTTGATTCGAAGATGAAAATTAGCACATCTAGCCTGACGTTTTCATGTGTATGTGTTGCTCCCTTTTTTGTTTTTATCCTCGAACAAGATCATAGCCTATTTTTGAAAATCGCATGGCGTACGAGTTAGGAAGGATACTCGGTAATTCTGATGGATTACTATTTTTGTACTTCCCTTCAATGTTTTCTTTCGAGAATTGTGAAGTTTTATGGTTCTTTCGCATCAAGGTGTAGTTGGTTTGAATTTCAAATAATTTTTTTTTCCTCCAAAATTTATTACAGTTTTTTAGGGACATTAATGGTAGCTCTAATCTTTTTTTTTTTTTTCATTTTCAAGATAACATTAATTTTAGCCTTTTGAAGTCTCTAGGCAGTCCATTCTTCAAGTTTGTTCAGTTTTCATTAATCTGCATGTAGAAGATTGTAATTGCATCTAACTTCTTGATTTTGAAAATGTGTTACTCATGAGCATAATGATTATTTATGGTTAAAAAACAAAAATATATCCACACATGCATGGCTATAATTGTGATGACGTGGTTTGCGTTTGCTCATTTATTATTAGTTTAATTTGTTACAATATCTGCAGGTGAAGGGGTTATTTCAAGTAGTCCAAGCAAAGGGGTACGTTATTAAAACGTTCTCTATTCTGCATTGGTTTGTGTTGTTTCTTGTGGATTGGAAAAAAAATATTTGCCAAAACTTGTCGAAAAAAAATATTCGTGCAATTGTGTATGAGTTTCCTTACTCGACTTCATCATATTGCAATTAATCCTTGATCCCTGAGAATTTTGAAATTTAGGAACTGTTTTCCGTGTGAAATTTGATTACTATTCAGCTGCAGGTAATTGATGATATTCCAGTCAAAACAAACAATACTGCAACTATTGGTGTTAATTCTTCGGTGAACAATAATTTTACCTTATCTTTGAGTTTGGTTGGGGATTCCTCAGTTGATGCGATTTCCATGGTACGCTGGATAACCTCAAACTCTTGTTCTGACATTACCGATTTTGTTGTTATTGAGTCGTGATTATGCTTGTAGCTAAGCCAAACGACTGTAGTTTCGAGAGGAACCCTCCAGGTCGAAGAGGACACTTCTTTGGGTGGTAATACTAGGACATCTTATTTTTATGATGAACTGCTAGCTCTTGTTTTTCGCGCTCTTTGATTGACGCTGTTGTCTTTTACACGTTCTCGTACGGAATTCATCTATTTGCCCGTGTTCCCTAAAGCAGCCAGAAGGGTAATAATGATTGATTATATTTTTCATTACTTAGTTTTCTATGTTGAAAATAAATTTGGTTCAATAAGTCCCTTGCTTAGATGATGGAAGGGAAGGATATTTGACTTTGCACATTGTTACCTTATTTGCCCCCCTGCCCCCGTCGTTCCTATTTTGTAGATAGCAAGAGAAGAACGACACGAAAATCAATTGCTGGAGTTGGACTTGGATCCGCCGAATGAAGATACCATTGTAAAACTTGAGAATGCAAATATGCAGGCCTCTGAACTAGTTGACTCCTCGATCATTGGAAAATACAGTAAATGGAAGAAAGAAAACCAGAACAAGAATCAAGATTCTACTATACGTCTAATGCGAGACCAGATTATTATGGCAAGAATATATTTGAGCATTTCGGAAAAGAAAAGGAAACATGATTTGGTTCAAGAGCTCCAAATTTGTCTTAAAAGGAGTCGTGGTGTACTAGGAGAGGCAAATATTGATGCTGAGTTGCATTACAGGTAATAGAACTCGGTCGTTCAGTGTCCATCGTGATATAATGCACTAATTTAATGCAAAACTGAAAGGAATTTATTATTTGCAATATTTTCTTTTCGAGGAGAGTATTATTTGCAATATTTCATGCTTGTAATTTATTTTTCATAACGATCGTAAGGACTCTTTTTATGTTTACGCCATACACTATGTTATAGTGCGCCCAAGAAAATAAAAGCTATGGCTGATGTTCTTTCAAAGGCGAGAGATCAACTGTTTGATTGCAAGTTGGTGACCAGGAAGCTGAGAGCAATGCTTCTAACCGAAGAAGAAAAGGTTAGAAGGTTGAAAAGGCAAAATACATTTCTCATTCAATTGGGAGTTAAGGGTATTCCAGGCGGTATTCGCTGCCTGTCCTTGCGCCTCACCATCGATTACTACCTTCTTCCTCCGGAGAGGAGAAATTTCCCTAGAAGTGAAAATTTGGAAGATCCAAGATTTCACCATTATGCTCTCTCCACTGACAACGTCTTGGCTGCCGCAGTAGTTGTGAACTCAACCGTAATGAATGCTAAGGTGAATTCAACTCACCAATTCAGAGCTTTTTTTCATGATAATTGACTTCTCTTAAACATGTAGCACTTGCATATTTGATAATGGTCAAGTTTATTTGACTATTTATGTTGTATTTTAACTTGTTTGTTTGCACGACAGGATTCTTCAAAACATGTATTCCACCTGGTAACTGATAGTCTCAATTTTGGAGCATTGAAAATGTGGTTTCTCTTAAATCCTCCTGAAGAGGCTACGATCCACGTTGAAAATTTAGATGAACTCAAGTGGCTGAACTCATCCTATTGCCCAGTACTCCGCCAGCTTAATTCTGCAGCAATGAGAGAGTATTATTTCAAGGCTGGACATTCTACCACTCGGTCATCTAGTGCTTCTAATTTGAAGTACAGGAACCCAAAATATCTCTCAATGCTAAATCATCTGAGGTTCTATCTACCTCAAATTTTTCCCGAGTTAGATAAAATTCTATTTCTGGACGATGACATTGTTGTCCAGAAAGATTTGACTGGATTGTGGCTTGTAGATCTTGAGGGAAAAGTCAATGGTGCCGTGGAAACCTGTGTTGAGAATTTTCATCGTTTTGACAAGTACCTTAACTTCTCAAACTCTTTTATCGCTAGAGAATTCGACCCAAATGCATGCGGTTGGGCATATGGAATGAATATATTTGATCTCAAGGAGTGGAAAAAGAGAAATCTCACTGGCGTATATCATACATGGCAGAACTTGGTAAGTCTTGCACCCATATCCCCTTTGTGTTGTTTTGTTTTCTTAAACGCTTGGCCGGATTAACTGGGTTCTCGGTGGATAAATTTTACTACATATATACACACCAGTTTACGTGGATTTTGCAATGTTGTTTTCAGAATGAAGATAGGCTGCTTTGGAAGCTGGGTACCTTGCCACCAGGTTTGATGACATTTTATGGGCTGACATATTCCCTCAATAAGTCTTGGCATGTGCTTGGATTGGGTTACAATCCAAGTATCAACCCATCAGAGATAGAAAATGCAGCTGTTATTCACTATAATGGCAACATGAAACCTTGGATGGAGATGGCAATGACGAAGTATCGCCCCTACTGGACAAAATATATTGACTACGACAATCCTTATCTTCGCCAGTGCAACTTCGTTAAATGAAACTTACTGTGGATAACTGCAGCTACAGGTTTCTCTAACTCTCACTCTCTCCCCACCCCCCCACGTTGAATTTGCTTTACTTGGTTTGCTGCATGACATGGGGCTGGGGATATCTCACATCACAGTTAAGTACCTTTGTAATTCATTCAATTGGTTCTCACTGGCCTTCATGCATTATACTTGAGGTGAAACAAGTCACGTTAGCATGCGAGAAATTCTTATGCCAACTTAGTTTAGAGTAAAAGATTTGTTTCTTTTTGTTCATGGCTTTCTCTTCAAGCACTCTTTATTTTAGGCTGAACTCTTTTAATTTTGGATCTTGCTTCATTCTTAACAAGTTAGAGTAGAAAATTTTGATGCTTTAATATAAGTTTTAAAACTTATGAAGGTAAAAAGGGAAATTATAACCGCTCAACCTTTGGACTTTTCCTTCGTGACTTCTTTTCAAGGTTTTAAAATGCTTCTACTAGAGGCGGTTTCCATACTATTATAAGAAAGGTCTAGTCTCTTTCTTTAACCGATGTGGGATCTCATAATCTATCCCCCTTGGGATCCCAGCATCTCCGCTGAAACACCGCCTCATATCTAGCTTTGATACCATTTGTAACACCTCTCAAGTCTACTATTACCAAATATTATCCTTTTTGGGGTTTCTCTTATCGGATTCCCCTCTAGGTTTTAACATGCGTCTCCTAGGGGTGGTTTCCACACTTTTATAAAGAGTGTTTCATTCTCTTCTTCAACCAACGTGGGATCTCACAGAAAAGTTGATTAGTTCCATTAAATCTAGTGTACCCACACCTTCTCCCGCACTCTGCACCGACCATCTCTCGCAAAGAGCTGTAGAACAAAAGACTCCTTGATGGAAATAATAACCTCAGAAAACTGTAATCACTTTTAGGGAGCTTTCTTATCATCAGAATTGAGAAAGAAAATGGATAATCTTGAAAAGTGTTAAGAGTCGGTGGTAACAGAAACAAACAATTGGGTATATCCATAAATATTAGTCCTCTAAAAAGAAGAGAAAGGTTGAATACTCTAATTTTGGAGTCTCTTTTTCTCAATAGACATCCTTTCTTCAGCCTTCCTTAGGTGTTTGTTTGAGAAGAGTGCCTCCACCACCAACTTAGACATTCCCACAAAAGATTCATGTGATATGATAGCACCATTATCTAGTCTAAAGAGCTGTTTCATTGTGACACCTAGCACCCCATCTCTCCTAGAATCAAACATTGAATCATCTCCTTCTCGTCAATGATCGCCCCACGACCAATGTTGATTATCACTCCAATTTTTCCTGATGCTAGCATCACCTCCCTGTTAATGAGAATGGAACTACTGGCTTCTTGGTCCTTGAGTTATATGAGATTATGCACCTAAAACCCTCCAGCCTTTTGGCAACTTCAGAGCCTAGTTTTCCCAATCCAACTAATCCCTATTTGCTTGCCGTTCAACTGTGAAAATTATTAACCTTCAAATTCATCAATCTAAAAACATCCAAATTCAACTACACTTTTGTTACTGAGGTGATTGGAAATGGTGACAAAGAATAGAGAGTGGAAATTGCAATTAGATGAAGGGGAAAAATAAAAAATAAAAATTAATTGCACCTTTAATCTGAGAGGAAAATCGCGTTTGGTAGGCCAGAGTCCCAAGTGGTCGACACAGGCGCTGGGAGTGACGGCGAGCTCCAGCGACGGGAGGCAGTCGAGAATGGCGGAGTTCAGCGTGGGAATGATAGGTGGGATGAGTAAGGCTTTTGGGTGGATTGGGCATAAGAAGTGAGGAAATTTAATTTGTTTGGGAATTGGGATTCCGAAACTGACAGTACCCAGGGAGGAAGCTCTTCGGCCCGTCTTTTCACTGCCATTTTTACCTGTTCCTAAAAATATTCTGTCAAGAGAAGGAAAACGGATTAGATTTCCTTTGGATGGATAAAACAAGATTGCGATTCGCAGCCAAAAAATCAGTTTAGGTGGCGGCAAACTTTTATAAAAGCTAAATCTAAAAGTTGGTATCCATAATTTTTTTTCCTGTTACAATAAATCGATATAATGTAAATTTTATTACAATGATGGATGAAAATTGTCATTATGATTAATGTTTATAAATTAAAAGGCATTCATGTAAATTAATGTAGCTGTAAAATTTGATTTTGTGAATGAGGTTGTAAATGATGTTCTATATATGAATTAAGGATATTTTTAAAATAACAGTCATTAAAAAAAAATCATAATTTAAAAGCTACTTTGAAGTGCAGCAAAACTGTATAATAATTTAACAAGAACAAGTGGAGCTTTTTTTTTTTTTTTTTGGAAAAAATCCAAATTAAATTAAAATAGTCTGAACTAACTAAATATACCCAATGTCTACTGCAACTGTTCGATTTCTTTGTCCTAAGTTTGAAGTTATTTTATATAATTTAACTCAAGTAATAATAATAATAATGGTTATGCCCTCACAAGTAATACCGGAAGTTTTCGTGAGAGAAAAATGATAACGGGGCCTTTTCTTATGTCGAGATTTATAAATTTTTAGAAAAATTATTTAACGATCATTTTCTGTTCGTGAACCGTCAAAAGAATCCATCCTGCTAACTTCGCGCTCTCTTTTGAGCGACCAAGCGAAAAAATCCTCCTGCCATTCTTCTTTAATGCTCTTCCCTTTGTGATTCTTCGTACTGACTATCTCCGTTGTAGTCATCATCGACAATGGCGTTGAAGAAAGGATCGACATCTGGTTTGGCCAAGCACGGGACGAAGTAGAAAAATGGCGATGCAGGAGAAATGGCTTCCCCACAACTGGTGCGTCTCTTCTCATACTTTATAGTGATTAATTCTTTGTTAGCGCCAAATAAATGTAGTGTTCACTTCGAGAACTAGGACGAATTAGGATAAACAATACGGGACAGTATCGAAATATTAAAAAATCAATGGGTAGTAATAGTTTTAGCCTGACAAACCTCAAGCTCATTTTGTTGACTCTGTACTCTATTGCCTGTGATTCTGCTTATAGTCCAAGGAAACAGATACCGACCAAGGAGAAGAGGACAGAGGATAAAGCATCGCCCCTACTCCTAGTGGAAAAAGTATCTCTCTCCACGATGAACAGAGGATTGCAGCTTTCAGGTCTCTCTCTCTCTCTCTCTCTCTCTCTCTCTCTCTCTCTCTCTCCACGTTGAAATTTCTCCACTTAGTTCAATGCATGACACGGGGCTGGCGAAATCTCATTTAATTCTTAGCTCTATTTTGTTTACAGCTAAACTTTTATTGGGTTTGTGGGAATTGCATGCCGCATTCATATTATTCTTCCAAGCATAGATACTATTACTTCTATTCAGTTCTTAATTCTTCGATCTTATTTAGCCAATCTGGACCATAGGAATTAACCATAATTTGTCAGATTTGGTTAGTTCTGTGCTGTACATTGATTTCAGTTTATTCCATTAGTAATTTAATTTTTTTTGAGGAACTGGTTAATCATTCAATCTTCACCACTCTTTCACCTCTCCTCTCGTTCTCTCCACCAGTAATTTCCGCAAAGAGCTCTGGAAGAAAAGCTTCTTGCTGGAAATGATAATCCCAGAAGCAAGATTCCACATTCATCAGAATTTGAGATAGAAAATTCAGAAACTAATGAATGAAAAAAAAAAAAAAAAAAAAAAAA